GGTAGTATCTATATCGACATCATGAGCAGCTGTATCGATGGTCTCTGCTACTTCCAATACAGCTGGAACATTTACCTTTTGAGCTAAGCATTTCGAGTAATCTACTTTGTCCGGATTGAAAGGATGCAACGCGGAAGCCGTTAATAATGCTCTGTGGCTTGATTCCATCTTCTACAGCCTTAGCCAACGCTTTGCCAAAATGTGGTAAAGTGAATACTTCACCATAGTGTGCCAATCGCCAATCCTCCACAACCTGCCTCCATTTATCTTTAAGTGGCTTAAAAACGGCAACATCGCACGGTTGCGTAATGTGGGTAGTATTTGGATACAATGCAATTAATATAATACCCAACGATTGGCATAAATCCGCCACTTCCAGGGCCTTATGGGAAATGTGACCGTCCACAAAAAATATCACTGGGAACTGTACATTTTCTTTGACAAGAAAAGGATGAAAGTCTTTTCTTATGTACTCGGCAAAGTTATGAGCAGTCATCCAACCACGTTCGCCTACCCCAATAAGCCAGTCAGGAGGAAATCCTTCAGCGACCTCTTTGCGTACTCGCTGTCCAGGTAAAATTACCTGCGGAGTCACAACTGCCGCGCTAAAGGAGAACATTAAAGTAACATTTTGTTTTCCTGCAGCCTGCTCCACTTCGTAAACGTTTCTAGATCCTTTTCGAGCGATCACTTCTCTCGTTTTTGGGTGGAGGTAAAACGACGTGTCATCACCGTTCCATACCCTAGAAGCATCTAGCAGTATCTCTGACACATCCTTCTTCTCTATCCAATCCTTTGTCATGGTAAACAATCCTCGGATGTCACCTTCACTTACACGGGCACTGGCAGTTGTTATAGATTCTGGTGTGCGCAAACAAAACCCAGGATTTCTGCGCATGAACGATTTGAACCATTTTCGCCCTAAGACCATAATTTGATGTCACTTTGTAACTCATTACCCAGGATGACCTGTTGCTTACCTGGTTGACCATTCTTGAAAGGTGTTTTCCGAGAGTCTTGCACAATGAATTCGTTCACTTTGAATTTTAAAGTTGCTTGTGAGACCGGAAACCCCCTTTCCTGCATGTTCGTTAACTACTGAATGATTTTCTTCTCTTCTGAATCCGTCAGTACCGATCGTGGTCCCCGGGTGATTTGATTCTTCCACTTGCCGCTCATCCTATACCGGATTGCTGATACCGGAACACCATACTTTTTACATGCTGTGTGGCGGGACATTCCATCTTTTATTCGTTGGATGCAAAGCTGTATTGACTCTTCTACGCACCTTTCACTCCTGGGTTTCTCAGCCGTCTTTCCCATTTCACTAAAAAACTAGAAGGGTCTGTGCGGAGGGGCACGAACGGAAGCTTGACGTAGGACCGCTAGTGGACGGAATAAATGTGAAGAGCATTTAGTTCTTTTAATTGATCAATTATCTATTATCTCAACTCTTTCCGTTTTTGAATTGTAGGCGTACCAAATTTGTAGTAATCTTTTTCAAAGAGAAAGTTGATTAAGAGAATCAATCAAAATCACTTGCACCCCTGCTCCAAGTTTGGTTACAAGATCACAACTCTGGAGAGCATTTTGTGTGGTCGTTGGCGGCTTGTGGTTCTAAATATGGACAAACAAGCACAGATAAATTCTATTCCAACTCTTTACTGAGCTTGCTTGCTCTGAAAAGGCCCGTTTTATTGAAGAGGACATCCATGGCCACTTAACTACGCTTGGCGTGTTTAGTGTAGGTGACAGCATCACGGACCTCATTTTCCAGGAACACCTTCAGCACACCTCGTAGATCAGACCGGAGATACGTTTGACACCACCACGGCGAGCCAGACGACCGATGGCGGTTATCTCGAAGAACTTTGCGATGACGCTTGGCGCCTCCTTTACCAGACATTTTCCTCCTTTGCCACGACCAGTCAATTGTTGCTTGTTAGGTGTGAAAGAGTGGACTAGCCACCACCTTCCTACTGCTGCTATTGCTCCGTGGCGAAAATGAGCTAATGCCATACAGCAGCGCTCTTTTATATCTTTTCAGGTTAAAGCAGAATGATGTGCAACCAAGTGGTATAAAAGCTACAAAGACTCCTCCCATTATGAGTAGTTTGCTATCAAGTAGCGACACTGGCTCTTTTCCTTTTGCGTACACGGCGAATGAGAACGACCAAAATTTGAGTTTAGTTCACTCATAATCGCCAAAAGTGCAGGAACTCAGCGATGAGTAAATTTGTCTCATGGTTTCCTGTGGAAAACCTAAAAAATCTGCAAGAAAATGAGGAAATTGACAAAAAATTTATTCAGTCTCGGAGTAGTACCAATAGACTGAGTGAATCCAATCTTAACTTCTCTCAAATTCGGGAATTTTTCCCTGGAAAACCCTGGGAAAACATGAGGCAAATTTACTCATCGCTGAGTTCCTGCACTTTATTTCTTATTTCTGAGATAACTAAACTCAAATTTGGATCGTTCTCATTCGCCGTGATTTCACCTTGAAAGATATCGGCGCCGGTGGTTAGCGTGATTACCTCTCACCCCACTCCAGCAGGCCTTTGTCCAATCTCAGTTGGCGCCACCGGCATGTTCTAAGGCATAACATCTCTGATCACGCCTTCCTTCGGGAAGTAAAGCCGTTGGTCCCCGGTTGAGTTGATGGGTCGATTGGTAGGGTCCAGGTGTGGGAGCTGCCTCCCTGGCGTCGGTAGCATTGGTGCTCAGCACGGAAAACAAATCTCGTGTCACTTTTCAATAGGTCCTATCTACATTGATCGATTCTCTTCATCGACATTCTCTTTCGTAAATAACTCGGCTTCACAAATGTTTCCTGCCGTCTTCGTCGAATTAGATGCTAGATTGTTGCTTCTTCCATCGAAAATATCCGGCCGTGGCGATTCAAAGTTGATCAAGGTTGATCAAAATAATTTGTACCCCTGCTTCCAGTTTGATTACATGAGCATTTTATGTGATCGTTGGTTCTGAATATGGACCAACAGGCAGATGAATTCTATTCCTACTCTTTACTGTAATAAGGTTTGTGGCCTTGAAAAGAGCCGGTTTGTTGCCAAAGTTGGTGATGATTTAACCTCCGAAACCAAACAGAGTGCGTCTCTGTCACTTCAAAACGTCATCCATGGCCGCTTACGCTTGCACACCTCGTAAATCAAACCGGATATACGTCAGGCACCGCCACGGCGAGCCAGACGACGGATGGTAGTTATCTCGAAGAATTTGCGTTTGGTTCTGAATATGGCGATGAGTGTGCAAAATATTACGCAATTCCATCCTCCCTATTCGCGCGCGCCCGAGGATCAGAGGCAAATGCCACTTCGACTTGTTTCGTCTGCTTACTACTCTCTGACGACTGTGCTAGGGAAGCAGCATATGCATGTAGGTAATTGGTGGATTTGTTAGTTAATTCGACGCTTTTGGACAATGCAGGACATTTACCAGTTTTTCAATAGTTTCTTGTTGAAAATCAACATTCGGAAGCATTGTTATCGATGCGTAGCCATATTTCTGATCGATTGGCGATAACATTATTGAAAGTGGACCAGGGGCAGCTGAGTTATTAACGTTCAAAATCTTTCTTAATTTGTTACATGTTCCATTTTCGGTTTTCACAAAGTGTATAGAAATCAAAGACGTAGTCCTACGTCAAAAAAATTGCGCTTGCTTTAATTAATAACTATGTTAAGAGGCGTCATGGTTTTCCAAGGGCGTAGATGATCTGCTTTGTTTAATTGGTTTAAAATTGTACCATTTTAAAACAATCGCCGCCAGTGACCGCAGGCTATCGCATTTCAAAAGCTTCAAGTGCGCAATTTTAGTGCTCACAGCTCACCACACAGTGCTTCTAAGCAAATCGTTAAAGCCCACACTGTACAGCGCACTAAATCCATTAAAAGTTTAAGCACATTTCGCACCTTTTCCAAATCATTAATAAAAATGAAAGATCCGGTTGCAGCAAGCAACGCGCGCGAATTCCTCCAATCCATTCATATTGCATGACGGACGACCGCGCCGCAACACCTCGACAATCGACACTGCTGCGACTGTATGTGCACGCGCTCGGTACGATGATAGGGGGGAAATCCAAAACCTTTTAAAAGTCACGTTTTTCCCCGTGTCCAACTACCTTCCACTTGGTCTCGCCTCGTTCATCGTCGTATTTTTTTTTGTCCAGCCACAAACCGCATAACCATCGAAATCAATTTCTTTTTCTTGCAGCAAGTACCAATAGTGCGGTTCAATTATGTTTCTTTTTCTCGAGAAAAGTGCTGTGTTCGACATGTAGGTGTGTGCTTCTTCTAAAATCTTAGTAATAGGGATAGGATCTAATTTCCGTCATACTAAGCACAACCTGCACTATTTACCTCTGTTTAAATAATGGAATGCTTCCATCGAAGATAACTTCTACATTCCATACGTACCGTCAGATTTGATAAAGAGTGACACATTGTTGAGATATTGTTAAAAATTTAACACTGCTTCTTGATTCCAATTACGGCATACGAGTTTCAATTCCGTCTAAACACATTGAAACGCCATTGAAGGCAGAACAAATTTATTATTTAGGAGTGCATCTTTTGTTTTTGAGTAGAATGGATTTAAATATTAATATTATGCGATAGATTTTGATTTGTAGTTGCCGTTCACGTCGAAATTGTCAATCAGATGGAAATGGGCGCTTATGCCGCAGTAGCTCTCTACCCTATATGCCCCTGAAATCGGACGCCACGTTCCTGAGATACTCAAAGTCGCTTATGACAACGACGACGACGACGCCGATGTTTTTTGTCGAATGCCAATTCATCCATGTCGTCTCGATTGCATTTTGCTCGGCTACTTTCCGAACGGAACATAATCATAAAAACAACTCTCAACAAAAACGTCTTATTGCAACTCATTTCTCTTCTTTTCTCTCTATCCCCGTTTTTGTTTTGATTGCAGCATAAACATCGACATTATTGCATCGGTCCCCCTACCGTAGTCCTGGTGTTTGCTGGTAGTGGCTTGGAAAACTAAAACCGATTGCAGCGGATAGCGACATCAGCCCAGTTGGATGGGAAATGCAGAGCGGCGTGCGAAGCATAAGTTCGCTGACTTATCCACTTGAGTGTGAAGAAAATAAAGAAAAAAAATCGTTCGGTTGAGTGATGCACTGCCACTATTTACGTGTTACATTTCAGAGCTTGTTCACAAAAGTAATACCCATGAGAAAGTGAACTTTGTTTGCATTTTTGACAGGGAAGAAAACCAGAAGGGAAGCAATTTGAGAAATGTGCGAAAGTGAAATGACGACCCGGTTGCAGCGATCCAGGAGCTGAATTCGACTCGGAGGTGTGTCCCCCGGTTTGAAACATTGCGCCGCGCATAAAAGTGAAAGAAGATCCCAGGGCGAAGAAAAACAAAATCATAAAAATTCAATAAATGCAATCGTTTTAATGATCAACGGTGTAGGTATCATCGGTGGCGGAGTTATTTTGTAACGAGCGCACGTGCCCGAGGCAGCAGCGCCGTGTGTCGAAAATAGCTTTGCAGATTTTTTGAGGAAAGTGAAAAGTTTAGTGCAAACGGTGTTTTTTTTTTGGAAAAACAAGCGAATCGAGCTCCGAAGGGAAATTGATGAAAGTGAAATTATTTAGTGGCCCGTTGAAAACCTAATCGAATTTAGTGTATCGCAGTGGGAAGTGATTCGGAGGATTATGGATAGCCGTCGACAACGGTTGGCGGAATTTGGTGGCCACCATCGGAACGGCGCAAGGCTGCAGTAATGAGTAACGGAACGACGACGACGACGACGACGGTGGCGGCCGGAAATGGTGGTGGTGCAGCGGCTACGGATGCGGAAAGTCTGGTATGTCAAAAATCGTCAGATTAATGCTTAGTTATTTGTTGAATTTCTAGGGGGGAAGTCGAGTTGTGCTGCTGAGTTTTGTTTAGGAGGAAACAATGTGCTTCGAGCGTTACGTGGTTTATTGTGTGCAGGTTAGATATCGATTTAACTACGGAAGCTATTTTTTTTAATTTGTTTAATTGGATGACGAAACACAGTTGCGCATTTTAAGCCTTGTTTATATCCTATTGGACATTGGTTTTATAATACTCTTAAAGGTCGCAATGGTGACATAAAGAATGTTTTATAACTTTTACCCCTTTCCTGTGCCTGTGTTGTTAACTGAATTAAATGCAAATTTAATCATTGCGCTACCTCCTCTGGAAAAGAGCAGATTGGCAAACGCTTGAGAGCTTTCTTACGTAAAATCGAACTTTGCAATCGTCTTATCATTCACAGCAAAGATTAATTGTAATATCACATAAAAGTGACTGCACTTCAATCGTGTCGAAAATATGGTGTGATATTACTTGCCAAAAAGGAAAAAATTACATCATTAATACAGTGCATGAACTGTAAAAATTACATGAGATTTTCGACATGAATGAAGTGCATCCTCTTGGATGTAACAGTAAAATTATTTTTTTGTTTGTTTGCTGTGTTGAATAATCCAATACCATCTTTTTCAACTGATTTTCTGGGATAAATTTGCCATTATGATCCTTTCCTTTTTACGGATTTATCGATAAATTCCATCGGAATTTACTTTTGAATATAAAAACCAATAAATGATCCATAAAAAAAATAAAAAGGCTCCTTAAAAAACACCCAAATCCATAAAACCCCAGTGAAAATCCTTTAAAATGTGTGAATGATCCATAAGAATATCAATATGATTCATATTTTCAGTCAAATTAAGCAACACAATTGTAAAAATGTACCGCTTAATGTCTAATGAATGAGCATTGAAATTGTAAGAATTACCCATACACATATTGCAAATGATCCATAGAACAAACAGCAATGAAACTTAAGCTAATGAAAGTGATCCATAGAAAATCAAGTTTGCACTCTTAAAAACATAGGCATGATCCATAAATTAAGCATATACTGTTCATGTTTTGGAGACTAACTTTTTGATTTTGCTCCTTAAACTTTGAAAAGATGTTCCATTACTACGTAGCTACTTAGATTTACTAACATACCCGTGTTTTTTGAGTTAGAAGTGCGAAGCGACGGGAAATTACAGCGACTAGAATTAGCTTCCAAAAAAGGCTTCTATAATAATCTTTTTAACACTCTGAACACGATGCCTCTGGTCAAATGTGTAACAGCAAACTTGTAATGTTTGAAAAATCATAGCTCAGCTATTTATTGACGAATTTCAAATCGCCACTTAAAACTAAAGACTTTAAAGATTTATTCGGTATGAATAGGTTTAAAATCTATTGATAAATAGCAGAGTAATGATTTTTCAAACATTATCACTTTACCGGTTGCATAGTGTTCGGAGTGCATCTTAGGAAATATTTTTTAAAAGCTTTTTTTAGATGCTTATTTTAGATGCTCGCCCATCGCTCCGCTCTTCTGGCAAAAAAAAAAAAAAAAAAAAAAAAACGGGCAGAACAGTAAACAGGCAGCTACGCAGTAATGGGGTAATTTTCCAAGGTTAATGGATCAAATTAAAAAAAAAAAATAGTGTCCAATACATGAACAATATATGTCTAATTTATGGATCGTGTCTATATTTTTAAGTTGGCAAGCTTGATTTTCTATGGATCACTTTCATTAGTTTAAGGTTCATTGCTGAATGCTTTATGGATCATTTCCAATATGTTTATGTGTAATTCGTGCAATTGCAATGCTCATTTTTTAGTAATTTAGCGATAAATTTTTACAATTGTGTTTGAAAGTTAATAATTCGAATTACTACTGTAGTTAGAAACGGCACAATGAAATATTTCGGTAGCATACACAGCAAAAAAATAATTTTGATATCACATCAAAGTGGATGCACTACAATCATGTCGAAAATTTCATGTAATTTTTATGACCACATAAATAAACAAATGCAGTAAAAGCAGCGTAATGTCAGTTCATGCATTGTATTAATGATAATTTTGTCCTTTTTAGCAAGTAATATTACACCATATTTTCGACATGATTGTAGTGCATCGACTTTAACGTGATATCAAAATTATTTTTTTGCTGTGTAGCGCTTTTCGCTATGTTTCGCTCTTAGTTCGCATTGACAGCTAGAAATGTCATGTTTTCCCATTTTGAATGAAACAAATCCGGAACTACAACGGGGAAAAACTCGAACTTCTCGCGGATAGACGAAAAAACGCTTGCACTCCCTTTCAGCCTTTTTACTTTGTGTTTTATTCAAGACGGGAAAACATGACATTTCTAGCTGTCAATGCGAACTAAGAGCGAAACATAGCGAAAAGCGCTATGCTACCGAAATATTTCATTGTGCCGTTTCTAACTCAGTAGTGATTCAATTTATTACCTATCATAATACCGGCCACCTTCGCAAATTATTTGCGAAACAAATTAAACTAAATCAAAAGTTAATTTACTAATTTCAATAAATGTTTTGTTGCTACCAAATTCATTGCAAATCTTACTCTTCTACGGCACACTCCAAAGGGCAAATTTTGCAGACTACCCTCCTCAGAATTCCAGTTGAGGTGAGAATCATCTTTCACGATGACGACGTCACCGATGCTGAGCTGGTAGCGCTTCGGGTTGGCCCGATATTGTAGGTTCAACTCCTTCAAAATTTGTATTTAATACTCATTTCGCCAACGGTGCCAAAAAACTTGCGAGTGCTTCTGAAGCTTTTGGTACTGGCTAAGCCAGTTGAACGGCACATTTCGGATGTCTGCTTCGGGAAGAGGGCGGATCATATTTTTCACCAAGAAATGCGCTGGGGTGAGGGCGGCAAGATCATTCGGCTTGCTCGAAAGGGGCAACAGCGGACGAGAGTTCATGCACCCTTCGATTTTAATAAGCACCGTGGACATCTCTTCGAAGGACAGCAAACAAGAGCCGAGTTGACGAACGAGGTGAGTTCTGGCAACTTTCAGTGCCGTTTCCCAGAGGCCACCGAAGTTAGAAGTTAAATTTTACATAAAATATGGATCATATTGATATTTTTTAAGGATCATTCACACTTTTTAAGAGATTTCTTGCGGTGTTTTATGGATCATTTGGATATTTTTCAAAGAACGTTTTCAATATTTTATGGATCGTTTTATCAATTCTAAAGGTGCATACTTGGGGCTGCCGAAGACATCTTTTAAAACTCATCTGCATCGGATTCATGCAAAACACTATTTAAAACAAGAAGATAATACATTGTAATGTGAAGCACGACAATCTCTCTTGTTTGGTTAAGGTGGCCATATCCTGGGTCTCCGGATAATTAAGATTGATCGATAAAGTGGCCACATTATAAAAATTGTCCTATATTCCTGCGGTTTTTTTTTCTGTGTCGTTCAGAATCATGAGATCAAAGCGTATTACCTTTGTTACTACCGTAACATAGGTATTGGAATCGGATTCTACACGTCTTGCCGTCTGTGACCGATAGCCATCCACAGAAGCTATCTCACCTGTATAAAACATTCCCAATCGATAGAACTCTGCTCGATCTGGCTCGACGGTTTGATTACGACATCGTACAATCAAATTGAATATGAAAACGACACGGTTTTTTTTTTAAGTCAGGGGAATGCTTAAGACCAGTTGGATTTGGTCCCTTTAAATTTGTGCACGGCCGATGAGATCAACCCAAATTATAGTTCAGTTTATTCTTAATCACAAAAAGTGCTGGAAATTTACGAAAATTTTACTCAGTCTAGTAGTAGTACCAATAGACCGAGAAAATCCAATCGTTACTGTTATTATATTCTGGAATTTTTCCTGGAAAACATGAAGCAAATAAACTCATTGCTGAATTCCTGCATTTTTTGGCGATTTATGAGTAAAGTAAAATCAAATTTGGGTCAATCTCGTTGGCCGTGTACAGCGTGTGTATTTCTAAACACTCCAAATTTCAGTAAGATCTGCTCATTTCTATTAGAAGTAGGGCTACCCAATATTGAGCAAACTAGATTGTAACTGACAAGATAACAAATTAACATTTGGATTCAGGTCAATGTTGTCCATTCGTCATCTTGTCAGTCCCAACTTTGTTTACTCAATTTTGGTGGATATGAGTACATCGTACTCAAATTTGGGTTGTTTAGAAATTGCTTGCACCCTGCGCTGTTTTTGCCCATACATCTAATCATCTATACATCTAAAGCGGACAATATATTCACAAGTAGGATAGTGTAACTGGCGCTTTAAATCTTGGTGTATACATCACCCGAATTCTTACAATCGTCATTAGAACTGGTACATCGTGAAAGAAACCTGGAAACTGTCTGTCCGATCAGCCCCGTTGGCGTAGCTAATGGGGGTGCCTAAGGCAGTGATGCCACATTTTTTCGTATATAAATCTTTATTCTCGCGTAACATTTGAAAAGGGCCTATTCTCGTTGATCGATTCACATCGTCGAATTTCTCTTTGATTTACCACGGCAACATAAACGAATTTCTCGCTAAGCTCGTAGGACAGTTCGATGTTACCTTTATAGTCGCTACACTGTACCAAACCACCGTCCTCTGTTCGAATGAAACCTCAGACCATTCAAATAGAAACATCGAACTCGCCTTTTCGAATGATAGCTGCAACCGGATGATGGTTGTTTTGAAATCAGATGATTTTCCTCCCGAATACAGGATGAACATTGTTATGAAAAGGGATAGGGCCTTCAGTTGGAATGTGTAATACTCTCTGCAGAATGATAGGCATCTTAAATTGAAATGCATTTGTTATTGGTTCAGCTCTTAACACAAATCATTCAAAACGATTATGTAAATAATTCTATTGAACATCATTTGCTGCTCTGAGTAGACAAACGAGGTGGAAGGATAACCATCGGTGGTACGAACATTGGTAAAGCGTG